TATATATAAATATATAGGATATAAATAGGCTATATAGGATATATATATATGAATTTGAACAGATGGTGTTTTTGGCCTCTATGGACCTCAAAACGAAAAAGTAAATCGGTCCCGGGTCCAGGTCTTACCATGAGTACTACGGTAATAGCTTATTCCCTATATGGGAAATTCGCTAAAAGAACTTTCCCCCTCCCCCATTGGGGTAATAAAAGTCCAACACATTTTTGTTTGTTCCTACAGTATAAAAAGGTGTGCGGTTTATGAGTAGTAAAAAACGTTTACCTCAAGTAAAGCCTACAATAATCTTTGTTGATCTCTTGTCGAGGTGTTGTTGTAAAAATTTCGGTTGGTACCGTTGAAAAACTGTTGACAATAGGCTACTTTGATAAAAGAAAATAGTGTTTTATCTTTGTAAAAATTGGTTTTTAACATGTCTTTTATGTGTTGTGGATGTGGTTTTATAATATGTCCAACATATTGTTTCCACACTAGATAAATCTTTACCGGCACAGAAACCAGTTCTGGATCTTTCCTTCTCACAGAAACTTTCTAATGCCCCGAACTTCTTAGATGTGTCAACTTTACAACGTCTAAGGATGTTCCAATGTTATAGGTGTATCAGTATTCTTGTTTCGGCATTTCCCTTGCTGTTATTCTCAAAATATAAAATACTAGCTGATACCCGTCTGCTTTGCCCGACATACTTTTGAGTTATGAATTGACTGAAGCTACGAACCAACATGTCCTTTTACACAATTTTTCTGTATAGTAACAGTTATCAAGGATTAATCTATTCTTCCAACCTAATTACCTTGAAGCTAATTAGACATATGGGACTACTGGAATCAAACTAAAGCAGGAAACCCACTAGTCCGACGCTCTCCGACACGACACCTTCCATCAAGTCTCCAACACCTTCCGACGCCTTCCGCAATTTAAACGCATTAACCCATTGGTCCGACGGGCTCCGACAGTAGGCCTCCGACGAGAAATACACCACCACTCTAAATGCCAGTTGCAATGGCATATGTGATCACATACTGTTCACAAGCAGTATTTTGGGAGCAAGTAATGAAAAGAGTCCATAACATTTATGACGATCTCTGTTAGTATGAGAGATTACAGCAATGGTCAAGGACCTTCCTAGACCCACCTTGATAATTCCGGTAACACTGTACTACAGGGAAATTAGCAGAAAGTACAGTACAAAACGTAAACAATAATACCCCCGTCGCAGCAAACCTGCCGACTAAGCAAATTTCTATTTACCTGAATTGATTTTCTAAAAAAGTGTATTTAATTAACTTAAGGTTTTATGAGTACCTAGGATTGCTTCTACAGGGAGGGTAAAAAAGTGTAGTTTTTAGTAAAGTATTAATAACTTAGTATAAAATAAAGAAATTTACTAAGTGTGATCAAAAATATATCCATCGGAAAACAAACTTACAATATTTTATAATATTCTCTATAAGAATAACATGGGAATTTTAAAATAAAAATTCTTTTAATTTTCTTCGTAACCAATAATTGTACAAAAACATCACACTCTTGTGATCACATGTTCCATATCCGTTCCACATATTGTGATCACACACAAAGCTAGACAGTAAATCTAGTCCTGGTGCACGCAGAGTGGAGAAATGACGGATCCGACATCCGACAAGAATGCCCCAGAGAGCAATGTTGTCGTGACGTGTCGGATCGGAAGGTGTCGTGTCTGACTAGTGGGTTACAGTCCATTTAAAATAATGCAAAGTAATTTTGTCGGAAGGTGTCGGAGCCTTGACGGAAGGTGACGTGTCGGAGAGTGTCGGACCAGTGGGTTTCCTGCTTAAGGGAGAACTTCTTCATTTGAAAAATTAACTGCCTTTCTACCGAGAGCTTCAAACTGCTCACCGGAACAAAATTATAATTTTTTCCACAAAATACTATTCCCGTTTTATCTCCTTTCAATTTTTCTACGCTTAAACAACACTCGCCAATAGTAGCCTTCAGTTTAGTTTTTCTCATTACTTAATTGAACATTATTAGCCTAAATAGGCTATCTTAGAGTAGGATTAAGTAAAATAAAAATGTTTGTGACATAATGTTCTCAAATATAAAAACATTTTGTCCAGATATTACAAAGATAAATATATAGGAATTTTTGTTTTGACAGGAGCAAACATTTAAACGTAGGTAACATCCGATTAGTTGTCATTATTTTATCTCTTTCTTGATCAAAATCTGTTGGGAATCGGACAAGTAGCAGGTTTGCTTTAATTTCACTTTTTATTAATTTTTGTTAACAAACCCAAACTATCACTACAGTAGACTCCCTCTTATCCAGACACCTCGGGACCGAGGCCAGTCCGAGTCCGAATAACGGGTTTTCCGGTTAAACGGATGTCCATAAAAACTTGTTAAAACGGCCTCTTTACTGTGATATTCGACTTAAATTTAAGAGAGCATTGTATTTAGACACGTGATCACTGGTCTCAAATCTTTTCCACGAGAACAGCCGTTTCATTACTGCTCACTACCTGCCGATCTAGTCCGGTTAAACCAATGTGCCGATGAAAATTGTCCGGTTAAAGAGATGCCATTTCCGCCGAATGTAGTCCGGTTAAACCGATGTCCGGTTAAAAGGTGTCCGGATAAGAGAGGGAGTCTAATGTATTTTACTTTAGATTGGCTAGTGGTAACAGATAGAACTAAATATAATGGTTTAGAATAGGTTGCTATGTTTTTTTATGAAGTTAGAGGTTTTGTTCGGTCTAGCTGCTGTACCCAAGTGTTTTGCAATGGGGAGAACCAAAAAATAAAGTGCTGCACTCTGTTGTTAAACCTTGTAACTTTTTAATGCTATTGGACATCATAGAACCCAACTTAATAATTTATTATTTGAAGCAGCTGTCAAAATGCATCGATTCTTTTTAAATACAAATGCATTTAAGGTAAACATGGGATATTCCAGAACCACTGGCGCAGAGCTTCTTGGTAGTTCAATAATGGTAATAGGAAAAAACCTTTTCGGGAGTGTATAGAACAACTTCCCAAAGTTTCATCACAATCGGATGGCCGGTTTGGTAACGGATAAAGGACAAACAAACATGGATTTTATATAGATTGTTTCATATCCATAAACATGTTCAGTGGTATTATTGATTCACCTATATTTGAAACCAAAGGCCACGGTGTATCAAACTGAATCTTCAATAGGCCTATGATAAAGGTTTTATTTAATATTTTGTCAGTAATTTTGTTAACACAGTCTATAGGCGTTAGAAAAAAAACTGAATTAGGCTTACTAGGCTAAGTGTTGCCAAGCTTTTTTGCTTGTATTTGACTTAACTATCCACGATCATTATATAATTCAATAAATTAGATTTACTTTCTACAAAAATGTTCCACATGTGATTAAGTTAACAAAAAAATAGCATTTTGAATTCAGGAGAGTATAATAAATAAACGTCATTATTTTTTATTATTTGTCCACAAGAAAATCTGTTTGACACCAAAGCATGAAAAATTATAAACCTCTTTTCCGCACGTGGGTATTTTTCTCTAGGTTTTTGGATTTTATGTTCACTATATATGACAAACTATACCCTCTAACAAAGAAATTACCATAATTTTTTACCCATTTTGACATGGCAAATCTATTGAACTATGCAAACATTGATAGAATTCTTATATTTTTGATAAATTCCCACAATTTGGGTATTTTCCTAGGCCTGGTCCACATTACTAGCTACTCATATCCCCAAAATATCATCATGTAATCTAATCTCAAGAAAAGGTTAAACTAGGGTTGTGTTGTAGGATAGGATGGTATAGGTTATGTATATGACATGGCATATGGTGTATGTTGTGCTAACCTAAAAAAGTGGGAGGAAAAAGGAACTTTCATCGTGTCATAAAATGAATGCTTTATTTCCATGAACATGACACACGTGTATGGAAATGTCTATGAACATTGAACTAATGGTAAAAATGTTATTAACCGTGTAACATACTCATGCATAGGCCTATTCCTACATAGCTTATCAAATGAGAAATGACAAAAAGAAACCTATAGGTATCAATACATTTTTTGTGCCTTTTTATTCTAAATTTTAGTAGGCCTATGTATAGCTTATACCATATGCATGACGTTGCCAACATATTTTTATTTTGTAGGCCTATTTATTTTACTCTTTATAAGAGGCTTTTTTAAGTTGCATTATATTACTCGATATTAGCCCAACAAACTGATTTGTCAAATCATACAACTAGATTTTACTCCAAGTCATGAAAAATAATAGATTACAAATTGGTTACTTTGTAAACATTATTACAAATCGTAAAATTTTGGTTATTTAGTAAGAGTGAATCCTACTATGGATTAGTAAAATATTGCTGATATCGGTATCATTGGTATCAATAATTTTTTGCAATAATATCGCTGTATCAATACTGTATCGATGATTATTGAATCTTCAACAGAACATCCCTAACCGCACCACAAGGAATATGCTTCAAGTTCAAATATTCCCATTTTGAATTTTTTCAATGTAGCCTATTTACAATTATGTCAGCTAGCCGGTCCCCGGTCTGGAAGTAAACTTGCTGCTTATATGAACTTTTGTGTGTCCATTCACGTCTTTGGGTTCAAGATTAGCCTATTAGGCTTTATGATTAACAATAACTTCCTATATCTTCCGTAGTCATTTCTAACACTTCCTTAGTAGGCCAATTAGTCTCACTACTGACTTGTGTTGTACATTTATTTTTAAATTTGATTATATTTAGTAGCTTGAAACCTTTATTTCGTATTTACACCGTTCTTTCTGCTAATTCTTACTTGTTGTTATTAATTTGTTTATATAGTTAGTCACAACCGTAGTTCATATTGTGATACTCCCTGATGCTTATTTCCCTTTGTTGGATATCTAGCTCTATGTGTTATGTCATATTATTGTATAACATAGGTAGTAACTGTTAAGTGAAATAATTCATGAATAAATGTGCTGTTGTAGATGTCTCGTGTGCAGCGGGCTCTCCAACTGGAAGATGACGAACCGGTGTCAGAAGTTACAGTTAAGCTTGGTTAGTTACACACATTCTTTAAGAGCATGCTTTTAAACACAAATACAATAGAAAGAGTAATATAAATTAAATCATCATATTTAATCATATTAAATCATCATATTTTCTGAGTGTTTTCGTTTATTGAGTTTTCAATTTGCTTTTAGTTAGACAAGCTACAGTGCATAGTTAATCAGAAAAGTGCCAGTTTGATCTAGAGAAAAGTATAATATTTTAATGGTTCTAATCTGGATCTTTGTCAGTAACAAAGGTCTCATTTCACTCAACACTCATCGATCACCCATCTTCGCCTGAAAATACACTCTCGCTACAATCCTCAGTAGCTGTGTGTTACACACTCGCTTGTGTGTCCGTAGCCTAACAGGATCCTAAATATAAAATATAGGCTACTGATTTCAAAATAGATTTTGTACCATTTTGTAATTGGGGACACATTGTTTTGCCACAGAGTACGTGGACTCGTCTGAGCTGGTGGAGTCCGTGATGACGAGTCCATCTCCGTACCATCTGTTGGATCATGAGTATGGCCAGACTCCTCAGAACCAGATCATGACCGGACCCCCCGCCCAGCCCCCCCGCTCACAGGTAAAAATTAGCAACAAATCTGTATGTCACTTTTTTATGTCCTAGGACGCTAGACACTAGCCCGAAATCGTTTTTCATATTACTTCAGGCTACACTTAGGGGTTGCAGCATTATTATCACTTGGATAAAATCCATTGGTGATATGGCAGGATTTGAACCTGGGACTGAAGTCTACCACTAGACAAGCTCCAAGCTCGCTCTAGAATTTGGTCCAATCCTGGTGCTTCGATGTGCAGGCTGTGAAAGGTTTTTTTTCTGGTTCCTGGTGACCAGTATGCATAACCACGTTTAACAACCTACCAGCTGCTTTCACTTAACCTATCTGTGTCTCGCAACACCTAATCCCATGATGATATTTCATTTATTTAGAATATGTCTGTAATTTAGAATGACTTTGTAAACAAATTTGTATTCATTTTATTTGGCTTTAATATTCTATTCCCTTAAACAATTTGTGATATATTTTGGCTGCGTCAGGTTTTTTTATATTCACTTTCCAATAGTTTCAGATATTTAATAGAATATTTCTATGAGCTAGATTCTCAAATCTAACAATTGCTAAAGTACTAATGACTTTTTGCAGGCAGTGAAGCGAAGACTTAACCTGGATGCCCCTTCAGGAGATGAAGGATTCAAAACACCAAAGTCAACCAAAAAAGCTCGAGCTACGAGCGCTAGCCCAGCTAATAAAAGTGAGGTTTTTTGCTTAACTTTTAGTATGGATGGGATTAGTCTTTTTTACTGTTAATCTTTTCAGCTTTAACTTTGTGAAAATTATTGTAATCTTAAAAATTAACCATCTGGTTTAATAATTAATGTAATGCTCTAAAAAATCTTAACAGGATTACATTTTTTTATTATGTTACAACAACCCGTACTGGTCGGGTTAGTGCATCAGTCAATGCCTACCCCCTACTGACTATAGTTTACCCGAAACACCTAGGGGGAAAAGGTTACATTTTAATATTTTATGACCATATTTAAATTTAAAACAAAGCTACCTGTCCTTAAATACTAACCAGTGAATTAAGCCCACTGTAAAATCCAGGAGTTTTGATGATTGAGGAAAACTACTTGATTTGTATGTTAGTTTGTATGAAACCGGGAGATCAATGTATAAATCCCAAAGCACCCATGAATGTTTGAGAAAACTAAAAGTCATATCTCTGTAAACCATATAGGCTACTTAAAATTTTCATCATGACGAGAAACCTTGCGCAAAACTATCCATTATTTCATAAATAGTCCTTTAAGGTTGTAATTCCTTTCTAAAGGGAACTTTCCATATACCTAATGTTAAAAATACCCCAGCTTGTTTGTTTGTTATTCTTTCAATTTTTTACCTTAATCAGGTGTGATTATTTGTTTGTATTACTGTATTTTGTTTTGTTTATTTCAGCTTAACTTAACCAAGTAATAGTTGTATTAATACTTATAAAGTCAAATAGGGGTGAAGCCCGTGGGTAACAGCTAGTTTGAATAATCACCAAAGGATGTCCATCCATAATGGTTTCTGTTGGTTCTCTTCCTGAGGTGGTTGTGTAGTATGAAAAATGACTCTTGGTGTTACCACAAACGCAAAGGATGAACGTGGATATAACCGTGATGACGGAAGCAATGTACATCCATTTACAATAATAAACATACATCCAATTTTAATGCATTTCTGGCTAATCAGAGCAGTTTGGTGATCTGAACAGGGTCCGGCTCCAATCAGTTCGAATTAGTTTCGGTGTTTTAAACAATTAGGCAGACATGACAACCAATATTGGAACAGTTTTTGACCGATCTTTCCTATTTGTCTGTCAGACAAGCCTCCAATGACGAGGTACGACACGTCTCTGGGACTGTTGACCAAGAAGTTTGTCGGACTGCTGCAGAACTCACCCAAAGGAGTAGTCGATCTCAACGTGGCCTCTGAGTGTCTGGAAGTGCAGAAGAGGCGGATCTACGACATCACCAATGTGCTCGAAGGCATCGGCATTCTTGAGAAAAAGTCAAAAAACAATATACAGTGGAAGTAAGTTCATCCAGACTATGAAAAAACTTTTGGGAGTATTGGTGTTTAGGAAAGAAATGTAAATGTGGCATATTATTGTGTTGTTCATGATTTGAACCATCCACAAACTTAAATTGGTTAAGGTTAGTACTTAAGGGCAGGTGTCCACAATTTTGAATATCTAACTTTTTTTAATCAAAAGAAATGTACTCTGTAAATGTTCAGGCCATTTTTCTTATATTTATACTTTTTCAACAACAGTCTGATTTGTAGGTTATTTTTTGATTTGATGGGGATATTATCGCTTGATTTTTATGATTGTAAATAATGTCTATATAATTGTGGTTGTAACTTAAAAATAACAAAATCACTCAAAATATAGTGTTGAGGTTCACTGAAAGAAATCTTCAAAATAGCACAAAGTACTGTACAAAAAAAGGCATTACAAGTAGTCTGGCCAGTAGCAAAATGAAACTTAGGGGTGGCGAGTGAGTTTATTGTTGTACTTTTTGGTTCTATTTTAACAGCACACAGCTTGTTTTGATGACAGATTTTTGCTGTCCAGTCTTGTTCATCCCTGTTTATGATGTATTAATGCTCCAAAGAATTGTGACTATCCAAAATTATGTAGGATCCATGATAAATACACTGCTTATATAGGGTAGGCACCATGATCATTTTTTGAACTAGGCCTAAAGAAATATTTGATTGATGCAGTTTGAATTAACAACTTTCACTTGATTTTTGCAATTCATGCATATTTTCAATTCATGCATATTTTAGCTTAATGAAATAATTAAAGTTTCTTATATTTTATCAATTGAAACAATGGGTTGTGTTAGATATTTTTATGTATTCTTGTATGAATGCTCATGTGATTTTATTATATTGTGTAATTTCCAGGGGAGGCCAGATTCCTATGGACTCGCAGAACATTCTACAAGCGGAGATAGATGATCTGGCTCGACAGGAAAATATTTTAGATGGACTTATCAGGAATGCAGGTTAGTGTTTAATGTCTAATTTGCAGGAACTTGATATCTGTCAAATTTTAGTTCCAAGGGTAAAGTTATTTATGCAGTTAGTATTTGGGTACCGCTAATCAGTGTTGTTAAATGAACACTCTTAAAATGAATTTTCCATGTAGGAAATAATTTGGTAAGACCTAGACCTGGGTCTGATTTACTTTTCGTTTTAATGCCCCAGAGGCCAAAAACACCTTCCGTTCATATTTATAATTTGGTACAAACATGTAAACCTAACGTTTATTCAAATGAATATGTTCTTGGTTTTTTTTTTATTCATACTTTTGTTGATTGGCAAATTTAACCTTAGTAACCTTGTGAATTCCAGCTCACGATCTCCAAATAATGAATGAGGACAAACGGTACGGCTACATAACTTACCAGGATCTCCGCAGCTTTTTGTCTCACAAACAGACGTCGCTGGTCATCAAGGCACCTCCTGAGTCTAAACTGTATGTAGAGTCACCTGAAGGAAAATACGACAAAGAGAACAAACAGCTTGAGGTAATAAATAGTCCAAAATATAATTAAATCAAGATTATCTTTAAATCATCAAGATTGATGAGTTTTGTTTGCCTATATTGGTACAATTAAGATTGTTTTGTTTAAGTTGTAACTTTGTAGACTTAGTTTTGTTTAAATGCACGAGAAGGTACTATGGTTCCAAGCAGATTCATTTACATCAATAATAAACGTGAATTCAAGGAGTCAAGTTTTGACTACTGCCTTTACGCTTTATTAGACCAGTGTTACTCGGTCTGAGCAGAGCAAGATGTCTCTCTTGCCAGGAGACAACAATTAAGTTCATGGTTTGAATCCGGGGCCAGTGAGATAAATGAGAAAAATGAGGCATGCACCTGTCTGTACCATAGACAGCTTGGTGAGAGAATTCCGTCTCAAACAAACGGTGATAAGCTTGGGAGGAAGTTTATAGGAAGGGTGTGTTCTTTGTTAGTTGCAACTTCGTATACATCAACGCCTTCCGCAGTCCTCTCAAAATCGTAAATTTTCAAACATGCATCTCTGCAGACACTTTCTGTCATTGTAAAAATAAAAGATAGGCTTGGCTTGAATCGCAAATATAGTTGCTCAGGTCAGAGATATTATTCCTGGCCTAAACTGGTTCGTTGACCTTACCTGAACATATCAGGGATAAGCAAACTCCTAATTGACAACCAGAATAGGCTAGATTCTTAGTTGGTCAGCATTTGTATCACTTTCTGTTTCTAATATAAACCGTAGAGTTTAAAGTGCTTGCTTATTGCTGTAATCAAGAGTTGTTTTGATCTTAAGAAAAGTGTGGTTCCTGAAGACCCAGTTTGAAAACACCTAGCTGTTATTATTGAACTAACTGACAACATTGTACGGTTTTTAAGACAAAACTTAATCAATATTTATAATTATTTTAGTAATGATTGCGGTTTGTTGCAGTTCAACATGCATCTGAAGACTGACCAAGGAGAGATTGAGGTTTTCTTGTGTCCTGACGAGAGATCTTCACAACAAAGGGTACACAATCAACACTGGGCCACACTGGACGAGGTGATAGTCAAGGAGGATAGGCTACACTCCGAGCCGTCTACTTCTACGTCCAGTCCGCCCAAACCTTCCACCTCCTCCAGCGATATGGACGTGGTCAGTTACTAAAATATACATCTCTTCCGTATTGATCAGCTGTAGCAAATTGTTCATCTTAACACATTAGCTACCAACCATACTCATCCCTCAATTACATAGGAGTGTGACGGTCTGTAGGGAACTTGTTAACACATTAGCTACCAACGATACTCATCCCTCAATTACATAGGAGTGTGACAGTCGGTAGGGAACTTGTTAACACATTAGCTACCAACGATACTCATCCCTCAATTACATAGGAGTGTGACAGTCGGTAGGGAACTTTTTAATACATTAGCTACCAACGATACTCATCCCTCAATTACATAGGAGTGTGACAGTCGGTAGGGAACTTGTTAACACATTAGCTACCAACGATACTCATCCCTCAATTACATAGGAGTGTGACGGTCTGTAGGGAACTTTTTAATACATTAGCTACCAACGATACTCATCCCTCAATTACATAGGAGTGTGACGGTCGGTAGGGAACTTGTTAACACATTAGCTACCAACGATACTCATCCCTCAATTACAGAGGAGTGTGACGGTCGGTAGGGAACTTGTTAAATGAGCTACTCACACAGTGTTCTATTGCCGAAATTCTATTTTCTTTAGATATCAGTACAGTATAACCTCATGGCCTCGGTTTATCAAGCCAATTCCCTACAGCTTACAGACACATAGTTGCATGCACTAGTCTCCCCGACTCTAGCATTATCGGTTTATTTGTTTGTTTACAATCTTACTTTATTTATTTGAATTGCCTGGCCTGAATATCCAGCTGGCATCATGATGGTTGCATATGGGGGGTTCTACTGTAATTGACATAAATAAACAATGTTGTTGACTCACTTAAATCACATTTTCAGTCTGAAACTGGCTACAACATAACATTAGAGCCTCCCAAGCTAAAAATCTTAGTTGTCGCTAAATAATGTGTAGCCTACATTTAATTTGGATAGTACAGTAAAACCTCGATAGTTCGACACTTTGTGGACTTAATGTCGAACTATAAAAATGTCAAACTATAGGGAGTAAAAGGAATTTGATATACAGGATGTATACCACTCTTTTTAGTCAAAGCTAAAATTATAGCTGCATTGTTAACTGTAATTAATGTTGCTTTGGCATCCATTAGGTAAACCAAAGCTCACAGCTAAATCTGTACAGTTCAGTTTTCTATTTTCACTCCACCTTATTGACCAAAATAGAGGGGACAAAACAGTTTTAGAAAAATATTTTTTCGGTTGATGAATTTAAGAAATTTGTAAGGCTATATTTATTCATAGAAATCCATAACAGTAATCATGTATGGTATTTTATTTTCTCTCATCTTAAAATACGGATGAACTACCTGAACTACAACGGACTTAGTTCTCGTTGCGTAGCTTATCTTACAATTTATTTAAATTTTTTACGATGCTGTTGGTTAACTGGAGTTTTGGTTTAATCGGGTGCAGATAAAAGGGGTTTTATTATATCTTCCTGAAAACTTGTTTCACTGAACTATCGTATCATAAACTTTTTCAGCAGGGGCTGTTACCAGACCACCTCAACCCAGACCTGCAGCTGATGATCAAGACGGAGGCCTATCCTCTAGAGTCCTCAGGTAGTGGGGTACCCCCTCTGGCACCTGAGGTGACCCGTCGTCTGCGCAACGCTCTCATATCCGAGGCAGACGACCTTCAACCCTACCAGCTGCAGACGGAGGACCAACACAGTTCTGGTAAATCTCGCACTTGCATGCCACTAGACTCTAGGCAGTGCTTGACCATCTAGTGCCTCATCTAATATTCCTGTAGTCTCACGTAACCCGCTTGTAGACATTTGCTGTTTCATTGTTTGCCGAGTATCATTCATTTATCGATAAGTTATTGTGGATTTCAGTTGTGGCTTTGTGTTTTAGTTGACTGTTTCTTACTTTGTAGTGAGTATATTAAGAGTTGAGCTAGTTTAATGAAGAAATTGATAGTTCAGAAGCTAAGAGATACACAATACTGTAGACTAACATGCAAGCCTAACCAAAATACCCCGGAAATGGCTATAGCTGCGTCTACACAAGGAGCAGGCACAGTTACTTACCTTAAGTGTATTTCATATTACCTGAGGCAGGTTGTCAACCAGCTTCGTAAATGCGGCTTAACATAACTGAATAACACATGTAACATTTAAGCTTTAATACTGGTTTTGGTAAATAATAAAATGTGTTTCCCCAACACGACATAGTAAGCAGCTTCTTTCCGTACCCTTTTTAGACCAGAAAGTCATCGTTTGCAGAAAGAGACCGTAACCTTTTACTATTAAATGCAGTATAAAAACTTTTAACTTTGTCCCACACAATTCTATTTACAAAACAAATATTTTTGGGGAGGCTATGTTAACACCTGGAGGGAACAGAAATTAAATACACAAGATGTAACTTATCAACTCGTTTGTTGTAATCGGGTACTCATCGGTTGTTGGCCAAGTAAACAATGAGAACTTTGTATTATTTTGCGTGTGAAATGATGGGCCTCCCAAGCTAAAAATCATTGTCGCTAAATAATGTGTACATTTAATTTGCATAGTATTTTTTAGATTTTTTTTGTGATTGGGGTTAATTTGGTTAGGTAAAAATCATTTTACTTCAATATCCTCTGATGAAATATTTTTTCCAATCTACTTCCTAAAGAAACCCTATGATAGTACAAAAGCAGAGTTAAGTTTTGTGATCTTTTATTGTGTACCTATTAGCCCCTGGACTGTTATTCCTGCATAAACTAGCTAAACTTTCTTTTCATAAAAATCCAATATAGCTATTTGGCTTTCCTTTCAAATATTACTTAGTAAGTAATTGTTACAGTTGATTATTAGAGTTGTGAAAACTATTATGATAATTAGTCAGTAGTTTTACTACAACAAATTGTAGCTGTGAAAACGACTGATGTGTTACATTTTTATGTTAGTTTACTGTAGTTTTTTTCAACATGAACTACAAAACAATGTGCCTTCAACCAGACCTGAACTATGTAATAAGATTTCATTGTTTTTTTTTGTTTGTGTGGTCTCTGAATTGTAGAAAAAATGTTAAGACTAGTCGATGCAGACTGTAGGCTACTTAACAGTATTTACTACAATTAGGAATTAGGTAAACTGGGCAGAAAAGAAAATTTTAGTTGAGGATCTCATTTAGTTCGTTAATTACCCTAATTTTAGTTGTTTTAAACATTAGGTTGTTAACAAACCTAAATTACTTGAAGAAAAGTTATTCTCAAGTCATGTAATGACTCACTACCAAACCAAGTCTGCCTTTGCACTTCAAAAATCAAAATTAATGTATTCACTAAGTTTTAAGTTATTTTTTTTTATAATAAAGTACAAAAGTATTGATTTTAAGTCTTTCCTTTACTGTTATTATTTGTTTAGAGCTGTTAAATAAAATATATAGGCTGCATGTTTACATTTTTTTTAAATATAGCCTAACACAAGTTTGTTATTATTGGTTTACATGCAGTTTATTCCTATGTTAAGAAACATTAATTGTTGGTCTCGTTAACTTCTTTACAGAAGAATACTCGAGGTATTCATTTAGCATTTTGCATATTATGTTATTCAGCTAGTAACAATTTTTGTTATTTCCTTGTATTGTGTTTGTTTAAAGTACAAAATCATCTATTTATTCTCAAAACCTTTGCTTTGGAGTGTTGTGTGAATTTAGACTTAATTTAAGTACAAAAGAAATTGCTAGTAGGAATATCTTTACCAACCCTCTTCATCCCTTATAACAGTTATAAAATCGTCTAATCTCTTAAAGGTGTATCAAAATGTCTAGTAGGAAAAAATCCTTCCATTTTATTCGCCTTTTAGAGTTTAAGTCAGTCATTAGAATTTTGTCTTAGTATAAGGGCAGATTTCCGCAAATATAGTTTAACTTCCTGATCTTTGTTTAAACTCTAGGTTTAATCGCAGATTCACTTTCTCCAAAACAACTTCTTGGTTTAATCTAGGTTTTAAGTTAACCCTCCAGGTGAATAGGGGAGTTAAACTGATGATTAAGTTAAACATTGTTTGGGAAACCGGCTCTAAGATGTACAAGCTTCAATATTAAATATTGAAGTCGCCTTTTAATATTTAGCACGAAGGAAAAGTACTAAATATCTCTTATAGTAAGGCTCTTATATTCAGATACCAAAGTAAATAAAAAATTAAATGCCTACTAATTAATAGTATAAATTACAAATGTTGAGTGAAAAAACTACTTTTGAAAAAAACATTCAAATATTTCCATATACAGAGGAATATTTGAGGTTGTAAGATATTGAAGCTTTGCATCATGTTCTACTATGACACGCTAATTGATTATTTATGAAATATTGTTACAATATTGGGTACTTAACAATGTAAGCAAACTTGAAATTGTATTACTTCATATTGTAATCCTATGTATTGCTATTTTCCATGAAGACATACTCAATTTTCATGTCGTAGTTTTAGTAACTCCATTTTCTTTTACATTCCCACCTAGTTGTTATGTTAAGTTTGTTTTTTAGTTATTGATGTTTACCTAAAATACTCCATGTTACATTTTGTTGGTAAATATTTAAATTAGTGAAAACTAGTGGAAAATCACTAGACATTTGAGGATTGTGAGTTTAATAAATAATTGTTCAAAAAGCCATGTTCTTTCCATTTGGAATCTGTGTAGCTTCGTCAGTGAAGCCGTGGATTCAATTTCTAATCCCTGTCATTTAGGGATGGACGGGTCCCGAAATTTCGGGAATTTTTCGGGAAAAAAATATTCCCGATTATCGGGACGGGATTACATTTGATTCGGGAATTTTTCGGGACGGGATTTGGTCCGATCGCCGGCGATTTTGCCGCTTCGCGAGTGCCGATGACGCCGCTATTGCGAGCGATAGGTCCGCGAACGCAGGAGACGAAGTCGTTTCGACGGTTGCGCCGTGACCGCGGAGACATACCGACGATCGCGCCGTGGCCGCGAGTCACACCGACGATCACCCCGTGACAGCGGAGTCATACCGACGATCGCGCCGTGACCGCGGAGTCATACCGACGATCACGCCGTGACCGCGGAGTCATACCGACGATCACGCCGTGACCGCGGAGTCATACCGACGATCACGCCGTGACCGCGGAGTCATACCGACGATCGCGCCGTGGCCGCGAGTCACACCGACGATCACCCCGTGACAGCGGAGTCATACCGTCGATCACGCCGTGACCGCGGAGTCATACCGACGATCGCGCCGTGACCGCGGAGTCATACCGACGATCACGCCGTGACCGCGGAGTCATACCGACGATCACGCCGTGACCGCGGAGTCATACCGACGATCGCGCCGTGACCGCGGAGTCATACCGACGATCGCGCCGTGACCGCGAGTCATACCGACGATCACCCCGTGACCGCGGAGTCATACCGACAATCACGCCGTGACCGCGGAGTCATACCAATTATCGCGACGTGACCGCGGAGTCATACCGACGATCGCGCCGTGACCGTGAGTCATACCGCGAGTCACAAGTTTCTATAGGTACCTGAAAAATTGTTACCCATTTTTTGGTTTTATAGATCAGTGCCACAAACGGTAAAGATTGATTTCGTATGCCTTTTTTGGTAACTGCAATACTCAAGACTTTCTTTTTATGCACAGAAAAAAATCCCGTCCCGTCCCGTCCCGAAAATCGGGAAGGAAATAAAAATCCCGTCCCGTCCCGTCCCGAACTAAAAATTCAATCCCGTCCATCCCTACTGTCATTAATCTGTAACTACTACCATTGACTATTGGATACAGAAGTATTAATAGTCATTGCTGTATTAATAGTCAAAGCTACTACCCAGGTTAATTTTTGAATTCTAAGGCATACACTGTCCTATGGCTAATACAGGAATAGGTGGAGGGGTTGGTGGTTGTTAAGTTATTAATCATACATCTTGAGTTTATTAATTTTGTAATAACAGTTTCACTTAGTCAAAATAGCCCAACTGAACGTCATAGGTAGTTGAAAACATATTGGCAATTTTGCAAACTAAAGTAGACAGCATAAAAATGCCAAATGCCCAATAGCAATTAATTGGAACAGCTAACGAAATTAACATAATATAAAACAAGGTTTTCAATTGTTGCCGGTATTGTTTGCAGAGTATTTTTTACCAATTAGTGTTAAACAGAAAACAATTATTGATTATACTGAATACCTTCAAAAGAGATATTCTTGAGTATTTTTCCACTTCCAAAATTCCCTAATGAGATTTGTGCTGCTGTGGACATAGGCCTTGAATTTTTTGGAAATGTACCTTAAGTGTTTCATGTAGGTATTAAATACTCATGTAAATAGAATACGAGGTCTGTTCAAAAAGTATCCAACTTTAGTATCTTTTAACTCAACAACCGCATCCTAGCGCAGTACCAAGGAGACTATTTTGAAGGAGATCACTTGTTGAAACAAATTGATCAATAAATTATGCTTTTCTTGAACAAGGTCGGATACTTTTTGAACAGACCTCGTTTTACATTCAATCAATAAGTGGTCAGAGGTTGAAACCGGTAAGTTCAGTAAAGTTAGTGAAATTGAACCAAACAATTAATTATTCTATTTTAAAGTCTGAAATAATTATAAATAAAAACAAGCTGTTGACCCGTCCTACGTACGGGAATCGAGTAGTCAGTTAAAACTGTGTATAATTTGAAACAGCTGTTTAGTTCAAATAATTCATTTGAAAAA